CCTTAACAAACTATAATCTAATACATGTTATCATCAACAAACTACAATCTAATACATCCTGTCATCAACAAACTACAATCTAATACATCCTGTCATCAACAAACTACAATCTAATACATCCTGTCATTAACAAACTATAATCTAATACATCCTGTCATTAACAAACTATAATCTAATACATCCTGTCATTAACAAACTATAATCTAATACATCCTGTCCTTAACAAACTACAATCTAATACATCCTGTCATCAACAAACTATAATTTAATACATCCTATCATTTATAAACTATAATCTAATACATCCTGTCCTTAATAAACTATAATCTAATACATCCTGTCATTAATAAACTATAATCTAATACATCCTATCATCAACAAACTATAATCTAATACATCCTGTCATTAATAAACTATAATCTAATACATCCTATCATCAACAAACTATAATCTAATACATCCTGTCATTAACAAACTATAATCTAATACATGTTATCATCAACAAACTACAATCTAATACATCCTGTCATTAATAAACTATAATATAATACATGTTATCATACAACAAACTATAATCTAATAGATCCTATCATCAACAAACTACAATCTAATACATCCTATCATCAACAAACTATAATCTCATACATCCTGTCATTAATAAACTATAATTTAATACATGTTATCATCAACAAACTATAATCTAATACATCCTATCATCACTAGACTGTACTTGTTAAATCTAACTTGATATGTTCTATCATGACTTACATCAGTGCCAGATTAAGGCGTAAGCCAACTAAGCTACAGCTTGAGGCCTCACAATGTATGGAGCCTCTTAGCTGCCTCTACAAGAAAAAAATAATAACTGATTTTATTTCGTTTTTTATATCGTGTGGGACCTTTTAAACTTCACATAGCTTAGAGCCTCAAAATGTTATAACCTGGCACTGATTTATGTTAATTACAAGATTTTTTTAGTGTGATTGATTTTTAACAAATCCCAACAGTAATTCTGCAAATAATAATATTTTCTTTCAAAATTTGTTTATTGATTTTCAATGTAATACTTGATAATTTAAAGCTAGATTTGGCATAGCTAAAACCAGCCTATATTTTAACATTTAGATTTTTTTCACTAGTTTATAAACTATGAGTTTGAAAAATCTCAATTAATTATCTTGTCAGAAAAAGTAATAAAAAATACTGTCATTGTAAAGGACAGAGTTTTACATTGGGTCAAAATTTTATTTTGATTATTTTCAAGTACGTAGTTTCTGTTCTTTAGTATAACTGTATGAATATAATGAAAGTGTACAGATACTCTCATTCTGTGGAATTACTTACTTGATTGATCAGTCAATAATGAATTCAAAATTAATATTTAATCACAACTTAATACTTTGAATAAAACAAACATTGAGAACAAATTAAAAACTAACTCTGTCAGTGGTTGATAGAAATAAGTAAGACGATACCGTACACACGAGCCTCCATACTAGCTAAGACAGGCAGTGAAACCATGTTTTAATATCAAGTGTTTTTTAAAACTCTAGTTTTGTTTTAAATTGTTTAGTTTTGAGAGGTTACTGCAACATTACATGATTATCTTGGTCCTGTCTCCTGGCATGGTTTATTGAATATATTTTAACTGAGTAGCATTTCAGTAGTTTCTTAGTTTATTGAGTTTCGACTAATTCAATTCAATGTGCCCATGTAATTGTTAAGAAATGTACATTTGTTACATTGACTTTGAAACTGTGAAAACTAATGCAGATATCTTGTTAATTCTCCTAAGGAAACCCAAGTAAATTTCATCTGCCGAGCTCGGTCGTTCTTAACTGGGTCCTGTTTTCGTGCCATGGTTTCTTTGTTACTGGACACCAGTGTACGTTTCCGTCCATTCATTGGCAAGCAGCATTTGTTGGTAATTCCGGAGAGTTCTCGACCAATCTCATTCCAGGTTTTCTGGTTGCATTCAATACATTTTCATCATATCTCTTGTTTGGTCTGTCTTTGCCTCTACTGGTAACATGGCCTGTTGGGAGACATGCAGTTTTTCAATCACAAAATACAGATCAAGGAGAGCTAGCACTTTTCAAGGCACCAGCAGAATTCCGAAGGGGGTTGCTTCGTTTGTTGATCCAGTACATCTTATTTCATGGACTAAAGGTATCTTATTCTGTTTCATAATCGCAAAATTTCTTACTTGCATGTTTAGAATATTTACTATATCGAATCTAATTATTTTTTAAATTTATTATTCATTATTTTATTTTATTATTGAGATTCTTTTATATTTAGGACTAACTTAAATCTCGTAACCTAGCCAAACCTTGTGAAATATTATTGGGATTACAGTCTTATATAGGGTACCCAACTGATGAAACAATGTATTATAATCTTTATAAGTAGATACTTAAGAAAAGTATATTTAATTTACAATACTGCTGGCCAGGATGATTTTTAGTTTTGCTCTAAGTACATAGATTATTCTGATCAGA